GCAGGATTTATTGAGAAGACAGAAAAGCTCCCCAGTGGGAGGGGCTTTGTGACTCTTTCTACGTGCTGGAAAATGTTGCTCTTGTTACTTCCCATTTCAGGATCACGTGTTTGTGAAAGTGAATCTTCTTTAATGATTTCACTTTTCCCCTAGTAAATTCCTCATCTATGCCTGCCTGCTGCTGTTCTCTGTGCTGCTGGCCCTTCGTTTGGATGGCATCATTCAGTGGAGTTACTGGGCCGTCTTTGCTCCAATATGGCTGTGGAAGTTGATGGTCATTGTTGGAGCCTCAGTTGGAACGGGAGTCTGGGCACGAAATCCTCAATATCGGTAATACTGCTTTACAAAATCCATTGGTCTCTAACCCGAGGGAGCAATGTCACCTTTAATGAAGTAAGGTCCATTTCCTTCTCTATCTCGCTGGGGTTTTACAAGAACTACAATACAGGCAAAGTGGGATCTCATCCATGTTTTGGAAAATAGGTGTTTGATATGTATTTTCTTACCAAAGCACTGTTATTTTGGGAGATTAAGTTCCCTGCCAGCCCACAAATATCTGTATAACCCCAAATGCACCCAAACACAGAACTGGCATGCCATTCTAGACTAAGAAGCACGAAACCACCCTCCTCTGATGAGAACAGGCATTCACAGTTCCAACTTTGGTCATCAGGGGTCTCCCTTCCCCCAAGTCAATTTTGAAACTGGGCCTCCTCTTGTCCCCCTGTCCTTGTCCTGGGGTTTTAAGGCTGTTAGTGCTGTGCGGGAGGTGGGTTGGCTGGGAGACCATGAGCCCCTCAGACAGGGGCTGGGAATGAGGAAAGTTGAGGCTGGCTGCTGAGAAGGAGAGCAGAGTCTTTGGGGGCAGGGGAGAAGGGTGATCTTTACCATCTCCAGCCCCACTACCCTGCTCTTCTTGGATGTCTTAGCTGGTCCAAATTCCTGGGAGTCAGCTCATTCCCATGTGCAACCTGATGTTGCTGGGGCCTGTGAGAGTCTTTCCTTTTCTCTCTCATAGAGACTGGAAACACATGCAGGAAAAGGGGGTGGGGCTTGAGGGTAGAGGCTACTGTGCACCTTTTCCAGGAAGATGGGGAGAGCAGGAATGCCCAGTAGTCAGGTGGGGAGGGAAGGGGGAGATACGTGTAGCTGCTCATGTGAGAAAAGTGTAGAAGTTGAGACTACCTCGACTTTTTTTTTTAAGTCTTTTATTTTTATTTTAAAGATGTGGGGTACAATTCAGGATTAGGTGTACACGTGGTCATCATACAGGTAAAGTTTGGGCCTCCCTTGGGTCCCCACTTTGCCTGGTTTGAAATCAGCCACCTCAACTTTTAAAATTCTTGGTTTTTAACTCCAAAAATAAGATTCAGATCACATAGATTATATATTATACATTCGAAGAACTTTAAACTAGCTACACCAAGAACCTTGGCAGGTGAGAGACATTCATGTGCAACTATTTTAAAGTTCCTAGATGTTTTTTGAAAGATTGATGACCTGTGTAGCTGTCCATCTTTTATTTTTTATGAGGTATTTTCAGATAACTAATGTTTGCTTCTCAAAGAATGAAAAGGTAAATAACTAATCCTTTTGAGTTCCACTAATTAATATTTAGAAGTGTTTGATTTAAGGTTTTTTTGAGCAAGGAAATGAATTGTGGGTGTGGGGTGAATGTATGGAGCGTACATACATGGTCTGTACATGTCCAAAGGAAAGCTGTAGGGTCCTACAGGAATAACATCTGACCTCTTTTATCTGTGTCCTAAACTCAGGTTTATGTATCAGCAGCAAGATATATATATATATATATATATCTTCTGATATATATGCCAGAAGCGTTCATCTGTATTTTGAGTGAACATTGTAGTTTTTCAGTGCATTATAAAGCCTTTTCCTAATCAATGGCCTTACCATTTTTCAATTATAAATCTATTTAAAGTCCATGCATGATAGTTCAACAGCTAATTAAACTGATTTTATTTGAACACAGATTTAACTCATTTGTTCTCTCTCTTTCATCCACAGGTGTTAATTTATCCTAATGGAATCAAAAGGAAAATAAAGAACCATTTATACTTTTTATTTTCATTTTAAAATAGCACCTAACAGTAGTTACTATGGCTTGTTGAACTATAACCAGCATTGTTCACAGAGCTAGAGTTGTTTTTATAGTATTGCATGTTATCTGACTTATGTGACTTTTATTCATTGAAAGATGAGGATTATGCGACCTAAGGGATATGTGTCTGCTTTAGCAGTAGAAGCAGTCAGCTTGAATACTCTTGGAAGTAACTCTTGCTGAGGAATTTAAAGAAATAAACAAAAGAGTATATGGGCGTTGTATGGGAAATCGTAACTGGCTTTTGCTTCTAAGAACATCCTTACATAGCCAAAACATTAAAGCCTGGTTTGGCTGTAATGTGTTCATTTCTTGTCATTTAGTAGTTCTTTGGTGCTGAAAGGTTACCTATTAAAGATTTGGTTCAAGTTAGCTCGCTACCCGATTTTCCTTCACTTTTTGTCCAATTTACAAGTAAATTTCAAAGTGTCAGCAAAAGTTAGTATCTGCCAATAGCTGCTTGCTTGTAATGGAGATTCCGAACTGAGGGGGCTTTTTCTTCTTTTCCCTCTCTCCCTTTTTAGAGCAGAAGGAGAAACGTGTGTGGAATTTAAGGCCATGCTGATTGCAGTGGGCATCCACTTGCTTCTGCTAATGTTTGAAGTTCTGGTCTGTGACAGAATCGAGAGAGGAAGCCACTTCTGGCTTCTGGTCTTCATGCCACTGTTCTTTGTTTCCCCGGTGTCTGTTGCTGCTTGCGTTTGGGGCTTTCGACATGACAGGTCCCTAGAGGTGAGATTTCATATATTTAAGAAAGTTTTCAAAAGTCACACATGTTGGTCAGTTATTCAGATGTCAGTTTCTTGTCATGTGTTGGGAAGAGACTGATGGCTCACAACTCTAGATCATGGGACATAAGGCAGCAGAAGATGATAGACATATGTATTTCTCTCTCAGACTTAGAACACTGGCTTTCCACACAGGTCGTCAGCCTTCTCTCCTGTCTTCATGTCTTTCCCGACCGGCCTATAACCGCCAGGCTTCTCCAGAGAAGCAGAACCAGGAGAAGAGGTGGGGACATAGAGAGATAGATTTAAGGAGGTGGCATACTTGATCACGGGAGCTGGCAAGTCTGCAGTCTGTAGGGCAGGCGGCAGGATGGAGACTCGGCAGGAGTTGAGGCTGCA